ACACTTCACTTCGTGGCCTGCGGACGACCTTGGCTACTACACTGGCGCATGGGTACAATGACTTGTTGTGGTAACATTTTGTGGAAGCTAGCAATTGAAGATTTCGGCGTGCGCGCGCGAAGAAAAAACGAATGTGTCCCATATGGTATTATTTGACAGGGATGATGGCCCTGGCAGGCGCGCAACCTTTGTTGCAGAAGTTCGAAGCACGTGAAAAAATTGCTCGCAAGAGCCCGTTTGACAGAAATGTTGAAAAAGTATTGGGTTTCCTAAGAAATCCGCAAGAGCGCGCGGGGTGAATTTTTGAAACCCTTTTTTTGAAAAACCATTGGGTTTTTCATGTTTTTATGTGAAAATCGCTACGAAGACTAAGGTTTTGGAAGGATTTCGTCTTGCGCGCGCGAATGTGCACTTCGTGTCATTTTTTGCAAGGGATTCTTGAAGTTTGGTCATGTTAGAACAAGAAATGTCCACTTTGCCTTATTTTTTGCAAGGGAAAACCGATCGTAACAACACAACCGGATCCGGACACCCCGTTTTGCCTGAGACTTCCTCACGAAAATGATGAAAATGTGGCTGCGGCCTAGGCGCGGCGGGGGGGGCGCGCACCAGGGGTCCCAACAATAATTATTCTTTAGAATTAATAATGTTCAACAACAACAACAACAACAACAACAACAACAACAATCATTTTACCCGAACGCTCAGTGTTCTCCCCAGTGCCAGGGTTTTCTTGCGACACCAGCCAATACCCCCACTTCGTGGGGGGGCCGTTCAAGCTCTACCAAATATCCAAACGACTCTTCGAGACCACCCACACCCAGCTTCCCGCCCTATGACGTTGGGACACTTCACTTCGTGGCGTGCGGACGACCCTGGCTACTACACTGGCGTGGGGTACACACCCACAGAGGTTGATCACATCTGTTACATATGATGTGGTACACGGTACACGTGAGATGGTACGCAGTGCCAAGATAGTTGGTCACATTTTTGGGGCATGTGCACTTCGTCTCATTTTTTGCAAGGGATGGTGGCCCTCGCAGGCGCGCAACCGTTGTTGGAGAAGTTCAAAGCACCTGAAGAAGTAGCACGCAAAGACCCTTTTGACAGAAATGTTTAAAAAGTGGTGTGTTTCCTATGAATCCGCAAGAGCGCGCGGAAGGACATTTTGACAATTTTTTCTTAAAAAACCATTGGGTTTTTGATGTTTTTATGTTAAAATCGTTACGAAACCTAAGGTTTTGGAAGGATTTCGTCTTGCGAGCGCGAATGTCCACTTTACCTTATTTTTTGCAAGGGATTCTTGAAATTTGATCAACTAAGAACAAGAATTTTCATTTTCTATTGTTTTTTGCAAGGGAAAACGAGCGTCAACAAAAAACCGGATCCGGGGGTAATCCACTTTTCTGAAGCTTTCGCAGAAAAATGATGAAAATGTAGCTGCGGCCTAGGTTTTGGGCGGGGGGCGTGCACCAGGGGGTCCAACAATAATAATTCTTTAGAAGTAATAGTGTTCAACAACAGCAGCAGCAGCAGCAGCAACAACAACAACAACAACAATAATCATTTTAAGACTGTTCGCCATTATCTGCTCGAGTGTCGAATAACGCGAATTTCCCAAACCCTCGATGCCCGCCCTCTTCGTCTTCGATCGAACCCCTTTCGAGGTGTATACCTTTCTTCCCTGCAGGCCGGGCCCCAGCAAGCGGCGGGGCGGCCGCGGACCGTCGGCATGGCCAGCGGCAGCGCTGATCGGCGGGGCGGCCGCGGACCGGCGACCCGCCCCCAAGAGGGACGGACAAGGGACCGACCACGACGACGACGACGACGACGACGACGACGACGTCGACGACGACGGCAACGACGGCGACGGCGACGACGACGAGCGAAAGCGAGAGCGAGAGAGAACGACAGCAGAGCCACGAAGGACACGAAGTAGGCCACGAAGGGCGACAGCGGGGACACGAAGGGAATGCGTATGGGGCCACGGAGAGCGCGAACGAGCGGGGGCCACAAATGGCAGATAATGCGGGGCCACAGAAGGCAACGATGGGGCCACTGAGGGTAGCACCTGGGCCACGTAGGACAATGAGGGGGCCACAAACGGCGACAGCCGGGCCACGAAGGGCATGCACATGGGGCCACAACGGGCGCGAACGAGCGGGGGCCACGAAGGGCATACGTATGTTGGGCCGCGGAGGGTACGGACGGGGCAACTGAGGGCAGCAACGGGGACACGAAGGGCATGCATATGGGGCCACCACGGGCGCGAACGAGCGGGGGCCACGAATGGCGGGGCCACGAAGGGCTGCAACGGGGCCACGAAGGGCAGCGAGGAGGCCACGAAGGGCTGCAACGGGGCCACGAAGGGCTGCAACGGGGCCACGAAGGGAAGCGACGGGGCCACGAAGGGCTGCAATGAAGGGCTGCTGCAACGGGGTTGGCTGGCACACGAAGGGCAGCGAGATCCCGATTCCTAGGTAATCTGTGAAGGAGTCCTAAGCGTGAGCGCGACTCCTGGGTGCCTGGGTGTCGGGAGCGCGGCGCTGGAGTAAATTGCAAGAAATTCCAACGCAAGGGCGCTATTCTTCAGTAAATTGCAAGCAAGTCTCCAGCGAGAGCGCGACTCCAGAGCGCAGGAGGAGCGATTCCCGAGTAAACCGCAAGGAAGTCCCAAGCGAGAGCGCGATTCCTGAATAAAATGCGAGGAAGTCTCGGGCGGGAGCGGGGGCCCTGGCTAAATTGTGAGGAGTGCTCAGGCGGAAGCCGTTGTTGTTGTAACCCGGGGGCCAGGGGGCCAATTTGAGCAGGAAGACTTTCCTTGACAAAAAACAAAGTGCGAGCCCCGGGGGGGGCACTTCAATTGAAAAAACCATGTGCGCCGGTGGGGGGGGGGATCAACAACAATTATTCTTTAAGAATGAGGGCACCACAACAACAACAGCAGCAGCAGCAGCAGCAACAACAACAACAACAACAACGACAACAACAACAACAACAACAACAGCAACAACAACAACAACAACAACAACACCAACACCAACAACAACAACAACAACAAAAACCACAACAACAACAACAACGACAACAACAACAACAACAATAACATCAACAACAACAACAACAACAACAACAACAACAACCAACAACAACAACAACAACAACAACAACAACAACAACAACAACAATTACTAGCACGTGGGGACACACCGTTCTCACCAGTGCCAGGGTTTTCATAGGAGGCGGGCAATACCCCCACTTTGTGGGGGGGCCGGTTCAAGCTCTACCAAATTTCCAAACGACTCTTCGCCACCACCCACACCCAGCTTCCCGCCCTATGACGTTCGGACACTTCACTTCGTGGCATGCGGACGACCGTGGCTACTATTCAGGGCCCCGCGGCCGACGACGACGGCGTGCGCGCGCGAAGAAAAAACGAATGTGTCCCGCATGGTATTATTTGACAGGGATGATGGCCCTGGCAGGTGCGCAACCGTTGTTGCAGAAGTTCGAAAAAGTTGCTCGCAAAAGCCCGTTTGACAGAAATGTTTAAAAAGTGTTGGGTTTCCTACGAATCCGCAAGAGCGCGCGGGATGAATTTTGACATTTTTTTTTGAAAAACCATTGGTTTTTTGATGTTTTTATGTTAAAATCGCTACGAAAACTGAGGTTTTGGAAGGATTTCGTCTTGCGCGCGCGAATGTCCACTTTACCTTATTTTTTGCAAGGGATTCTTGAAGTTTGGTTATGTTAGAACAAGAAATGTCACTTTAGCTTATTTTTTGCAAGGGAAAACCGATCGTAACAACACAACCGGATCCGGACCCCCGTTTTGCCTGAGACTTCCTCACGAAAATGATGAAAATGAGGCTGCGGCCTAGGCGCGGCGGGGGGGTCGTGCACCAGGGGTCCCAACAATAATTATTCTTTAGAAGTAATAATGTTCAACAACCACAACAACAACAACAACAACAACAACAACAACAACAACAACAACACCAACAGCAGCAGCAGCAACAACAACAACGATACAGCAAAACGTCCGCCACGATTTTTCACAACGCGAGAGGGTATGCAGCCCTCTCCCTCCATTCCGTGCGGCCCAATCTTCGCCGCCGACGCCCGTCGCAGACGTCACCGTCACCGTCGCCAGCGCGCTCACCGAGACTTGTACACGTCGGTCGGAAGAAGTAAGTAAAAACATGAAGTAGTAGACGGGTAAAGTAGATTGGGTTCAGGCCCTCCCAAAGAATAACAAAACACAACAAAAACATATCGAATCTGGAAGTCGGAAGGCTCTCTTGAGGTAGATTTGGATCTGGGAATCCAAAAACACCTACTTTCAACGACCAGCGTGTAAGTGGCAGAGACGGCTAAGTGATAGAACGGACAGCCGCAGAGGTGGAACGATAACACGCGCGACCAGCCCCGCCACTGCCCCTCCCCCTTTTACACTGGTCACGTCACGATTCAAGCTGGTGCCGTCTGGGAATAAACCATGTCTTCGGCTTTCCCAGACGGCGCCGGCACGAATCGTGACGTGGCCCGCCTCCTCCCCCCACTCCCCCCCCAGGTCACGCCCGTTATCGCTAGGGATTGAAAAAACGCTATTTCCTGCAAGTGGGTGGTAGAAAGTAGAACGTGCCCCCACATGGGGGAGCAAACGGGTGCGGATACCGCTACTGCTCGGCCTTCTCCCGGGCTGGGTCCTGCTCTAGCCAGCAGCAGTGCGCCGATGCCGCCGCGCCGCGCCACCGTCGTCGCCGGCGCCGCCGCCACCGCCTGTCCCTGAGATCCGACGTCACGGAAAAATGCAGCATCGCGGAAATCACGACCGGAGCCCTGGACCCCATCTTGCTGCGGCATGTTTCGAGCCTGATTGATCCACCAGGCTCCCGGGGCCCGAATTACAGCGAAATCGCCGGTTGCCAAAACCTGCGACACCCGCATCTGAGAGGTCGTCGTCGTCGGCGGCGGCGGGGCCGAGGCGCCGAGGCCTGCTCTGGTGCCGCGCGGTGCGCTGGCGCGCTCGCGGGGCGCCGCAGGCGCGGCGGCGCCCCGCTCGCGCTGCCGGCCGAGGCGTTGAGTTCCAGCCTCCGCGACGCGGCGAGCCGCTCTTCCAGCTCCACGCCGCCGCGCAGCGTCAGCTGCCACAGCTGCTCCTGAGCCACGAGGGCGGCTGGAACGTTAGGTTCGCGCCGTGACGACCCAAGCGTTGGCTCCTGACACCGCGTTGTTCCTGACAAACTGTCCGACAGTATAAATGTTTCAGTCTGGGCGGTGTTCCTAGATTTCGGCATCTGGGGCCCGCTATTGGGCCCCAAGACCATCAAGAACGAATCCGTGACGAAAAACTACCCCTGGGGGGGTTCGGAACCTCCAGGGCGGCAATGAAAAAATCAGACCGTCGGCCGTGAGGAGGGAGAAACTCCCAGACCCCCTCGCGTCGTTAAAAAACTCGGCGGGGCTGTACGGTATGTTCGTGCCGTGACGACCCGGGCGTTGGTTTCTGAAGCCACGTGGATCGCTCAGCCTTGAGCGATCGGCCTTGAGCGATCGGCGACTTTTCAGATCGTTCCATTGTTGGCCGATTCTGGGCATCTGGCACCGTTCAACGCCCGCGGCGGGGTCGCTGCAGCGTCGACACGACACGTCCGCAGACCCCAGACCCCCCGCGTCGTGAGAAAATCGTGGCGGGGGGGTGCTGTTCTCGGACTCTGTGGGCCGTTACCGGGCCTCGGGGCCACATGGGTCGACACGTCAGGGGGTCAACCCCTTCCGGGGAAACGACAGGGGGCGGGGCCTAGAGTCGGCGGTACATCGCCGATTGATCAGCAGTGGGCCCCAGAGATCGAGGCCACACGTTCCTGGGTTGGTTGGGGCACCCAGGCCTCGATCGGCGAGTCATGGGCGAGGGGGGTCGATGCTTCCCCGCCGGAGCTGGTGCCCCCTGTCGCTGCCCCTGAGGACGGTGCATACGGCTGGTTCCCGTCGTGTGGGCGTGGACGTCGCTTCCTGACACCGTGCAGACCGTCAAATCTTGACCGATCGCCGCTCACCGACAGCGTGGAACGCTCCAGGTCTGGCCTGGTTCAAGCCGCCGCGGGCCTTCAACATGAAGCGCCTGCGCCAGCGGTCGCCGCCGCGAGACGCGGCGCGAACCTGCCGCAGGTCTCCTGGTCGAGGCCAGGAGGTTCTACGCACCAACACACGGCCCAGGATAGCTCTGGCAAGGGATACTGCTGCTGGTATGCAGATGCCACATGCGGATCTCTCGCTGAGCGCTCGATGACCTCTGCCTTCACCCGGCACGCCATAGACCCTCCACGACATGTCCAGATTCACCTGGATCACCTCGATCTGACCAGGTTTGCACCGACTGGCGTCGATGCTGGGAGAGTAAAAAGGTACCGACACCTCTACTCCCCAGACCTCTCCTGATGTGCGTTCTGACCAATATTTCAAGGAGACTCCAACTGTGGCGACGAGGGCCCTCCAGGACGAGCAGCGATCTCGGTACCCCTATTCCTCCTCTGCGACCACCTGTCTGGCGCTGTACCCGCGAGCAGGTCGGGGAGGAGCCGGCAAGCCCTCAGAATAGGGATCCTCGCGGCCGCCGAGGCCCAGCGAGAGGCACGAGGAGGGCCTCGGCGCCATGCTCGGCTGAGGTGCAACGATAGGGGGGGGACTGGCATATGGAGGGCGGGGGACATCGACGTGGAATCGCCGACACATTGCCGTAGGTCGGCGATGGCCCCCCGACAGTAAGTCCGCACCTTCCTGGGCGGGGCGGGGATATCGGGCGCCTGTCGGCGATCAATGAGCGCTTGGGGGTCGATGCATCCCTCCCTGAGCCTTACCCCCCGTTGGCTGGTTTCGGTTTTCGGGTCATAAGTCGGATCTCGGGCGGTGGTTCGGGACGATTCAGGCACCCCTGGAACGCCCTCGGCGAGGCGCAGCTGCTGGAGCGCAGCTCGAGGCTGGAAAACGTCCAGGCACAGACGAGAAAGTCCGAAAACCTCGAACCTCGAACCTGATCTTAGCCCCTTATGCCTACCCCACCCGATCGTTGCCCCTGAAGCTCCCCGCCGGCCGCGCCGCCCGGAAACGCGCGGGCATGCGGCCGGCGGCCGGGCGCCCTGGCCTGCGCCAGCCCAGCCTCGAGGAGAGGCGAGGCGGAAGGCGAACGCGCGGCACTCCTGCGGCGCCCAAGGGGGAGGCCATGCATCGGCTGCTTCCTTTTCCCGGACATGCTCGCGTCGTGAAAGAATTGGGATGGGAGGCTTTTCGCCCTCACCAGGCCCCAAGACCGTCAAAGAACGACTCAGGATGAGAAGCCGGTCCCTGGGAAAGGGTCGAGACTTCGAGGGGACCACGTATTGACAAAAAAATCAAGACGTCGCATGTTTGGGTTGTCAGCGACGACTTGGGTCCAAGACGCGGTCGGGGCAGCCGAGGGACGCTTCGGGGCCCACTTGGGCACAGCAGGAGAAGGACGGGCGCGGAGGGGGATGGAAGCCGCGGCCGGCGGAGCATGCTCAGACCGTGAAGAAATTGCACGTGTGTGCCAGAAATGCATCGGCTACACGCAAGAGTCACCATGGGCAAGGATGACCTTTGGTGCTCGGCTTAAGGGGGGGCCGCGAGGGGAAGCCGCACCCGATCTCACGGCCAGTGCTTGGGGGGCCCCTGTGTGCCCGCACCTGAGGTCACTCCGGCGAAGGGCCGCCCCCACCCAACCCGAAGTGGCCGTTGGGCCTGCCAGTCTTCAGTGGGGGGACGTTCAGGAGCATCGAGGAAAGACAGTGGAACTTGTACACCCCCGCCACCCGAAATTTGGAGGAGCGAGTCGGAGACCTTCGGGTTTAGTTGGGGAGAGTTTGTCAGTAGTGACTCTAGGGGACCCCAGAACCGTGCGGCGACAGACCGTGCGGTGACCTCAAAATCCCGAAGGACCTCAACGCAGGGTCCGTCACCACACGGTTTGGGACCCTGGAGGCCCCAGTCGTTCGAGACATCCTTGACGAACGACCTAAGTCCCCAAACCGTGCGGTAACCCCGAATCCCCACCGACTCACCACACGGTGTGGTCACCACCCCGTTTGGGGCCCCCCGAGACTTGCTCGCAGCCGAATGCAGAGCTGCGCACTGGAGAGCGTCAGGGCCGGGTCAGAGCGACTGTCTCGGCGGCGTGTCCAGGAGGGCCCCAGGATCGGAGAGGGGCCAGTCGAGACGACAACGGCGGCCCTCCTTGTTGCTCCTCGTCCTTTCTTGGGCATGCGCGGGGAGGGGGAGGAGCGGAGCCCTCAGTTCGTGTTGTCCCTGCCGTGGCATCCCACGACATGTTGGGCGAGTTTACCCTCTGGCCCGTGCCACTTCCAGGATTTGCACGCAAGGGCCAGCCTTCAGGAGGGAGGGGAGGAGGAACAGGAACTCATCGCTTGCGCAAGCATCTTGCACTCTGCCAGTGCTCACCACAGGAAAAGCACCACGGGCCGCGTCACACTTGAATACACACTACCAGAGCAATGCCATCGGCCCGTTGCACTCCAGAATACCCTACCATGAAAGATTATACGCGTTGCCAAAGTTGCATGAAAAGGGGGAACCCCATCCCACGCACTGGTCTTCAGGCGAAGCCCGCCTCGGCAACCGAGAAGACTGGTGCGCTCTGAGACGAGTCGGGCAGCGCCTGAAGCGGGGAAACGTGGTGAACACAGACCATCGAGGGCATCTCTGCGTCTGCGTGGCCATCGTCTCCCAGTAACCCTCCGGCAGCAAATCCAGAATGTCCAAGAGGCTTGACGTAGAAGCTTAAATGCCAGTCCCCGTCTTGAGCGCGCTCATGGGAAACTTTCACCTGTACACTCCCAAACTTCAACCACTTCGGCTGATCGTCATGCATACCTTGAACTTTCAAATGGAGACCGCCAGACCCTGCCGCCTCCACCCACTCCCCTGTAATACTCAGTTCTTGGAAATACATGCCACCGCATTGTCCATCCATTTGACGCGCATCGGCCTCCACAAACAGCAGGGCGTCCTTGTGCCTTCCACGAAACATGATCGCCAGAACATACTTGCCCGGCTTCATTACATCGAACCGCTGAGCAAGAATGTTCTGCAGATGGGGATCGCCCGCACTGGGAGCTGCAGGAGGGAATGTCGGATTTGGCGCTGGCCATCCTGCAGGATCCGTCGGGCTGGGCGTCAGGCTGGGCGTCGGACGGGCGTCGGGGAGGTCGTCGGGTAGGGCGCCAGGCAGTCCGTCAGGTACAGTGTGAGGTACGGCGTTGGGCAGGGCGGCGCGTAAGGCGTCACGTAGGGCGTCGGGTAAGGAGTCGGGGAGGACGTCGGATAAGGCGTCGAGCAGGGCGTCGGGTAGGGCGCCATGAAGGGCGTCGGGTACGGTGTCAGGTACGGCGTTGGGTAGGGCGTCGCGTAGAGCGTCGGGTAGGACGTCGGGTAGGGTGTCGGAGAAGGCGTCGGGCTGGGCGTCGCCCAACTCGCAGGCAATCAGCCAGGAGAGCCCAACCCCACCGCTGGGTCGCTGCCATCAGTCAAAAGACCGTGAGCTCGACGCTGAACCAGCGCAGGCGTAGGCCAAGTCAACGCTTACACTTGTTGTCGCACTGGCGCGGATCCACGCCGCGGTCGGAGGCAGGCGAGGGGCACTACTGGGCCTACTGGGGCACAATGGGAGAAGACGTCAACATTTACACGCACCCGCACCAATACGTCGCTGTGCTACATGGGTTGGGGTTGTTGACCTCCATGCCGCGGGCTCCTGCGATTCCCATGCAGACACTGCTTTGCACCCGTCGGTAGTTGTCTGAGGGCCCGTGTTTGTCGCAAGACACGGATACGAGAGGGCTGCCCAGCAATGGCTCGCGGTCTGCATCGCAGCTGCCCCTTCCCAGGAGGTGTTTTTTCGTCCCGGGTCCATTCTTGATCGCTCCGGGATCTAGATTACGGGCCACGAAGTCGAAACCAAGGAAAAAAAATACCCTGTGACGTACCCAACCCTTTCTATACATGTGGCGATTATATTGAAGACCACTCAATGCTGACTGGCATTCTGAAGGACCCGCAGTGCGCAAGAAGAGCACCCAGCAGTGATTTCAGAAGAGCGCAGCAAGAAGAGGAACGGCAAATCGCAAGCCCCCCAGGGGGCGGCGAGGTCCCGAGGTGGTCCGCGTATGACGTACCTCCGCTGGGCCTCCCAGGAGCCCACGAAAGTGCCGACAGTTTCGCAGATCGCACGGCCCCCCAGGGGGCGGCGAGGCCTCCCAGGAGCCCACGAAAGTGCCGACGGTTTCGCAGATCGCAGCCCCCCAGGGCACCGCGAGCTATAGTGGTGGTCCGCGTGGGACGTACCTCCGCTGGGCCTCCCAAGAGCCCACGAAAGTGCCGACAATTTCGCAGATCGCAGCCCCCCAGGGCACCGCGAGCTATAGTGGTGGTCCGCGTGGGACGTACCTCCGCTGGGCCTCCTAGGAGCCCACGAATGTGGCGACCGTTTCGCAGATCGCAGCCCCCCAGGGCACCGCGAGCTATAGTGGTGGTCCGTACCTCCGCTGGGCCTCCCAGGAGCCCACGAAAGTGGCGACCGTTGCGCAGATCGCAGACGGCACGAGAGAAGAGGAGAAGGGAACACAGGAGACAGGAGAGAAGGAGGAGAGGAGGAGGGGAGGAGGAGGAAGGACGGGGCGACCACACTGCTCTATTCAAAACGAGAACCCAACACAGGAGGGTTGGGACAAAAGACTAGCCGGACAAATCGGATCGTTGAAGATCTGGGTCCCCCGACCCTCGACCCTCGACCCTCGACCCTCGACGCTCGCACCTTGAGCCTCGAACCACGAACCCTCGATCCTCGAGCCCCTCGAGATCCTGGAGATCCTGGCAACCCTGGACTCCCGACCCTCGAAATCCTTGAGGCCAGCGGAGGCCACCGCGAGGCTGTGCGCCAGCACCGCCTGCCGAGAGGTCCCCACCCTCCGTGGGTGTAGCAGCCCTGCGGGCGGGGGGCGGCCCGGTCTCCTGGACGGGTGGTTCACGAGTGCGGCCAGCAGCTCCGCACGGCGGCGCGCACGCGCCCGCGGCGCGCGGGCCCGGGGCGCCTGCCGCCTGCTGGACTGCACCCTCGGCTGGTGTGCTGGCCCGCCTCCTGGAGCTCCGTTCTCACGAGCGGCGAACGTGTCCATATCCGCGCCCTCGCGGTCTGGATCCCAGGGCGCGATCCCGCGGAGACGCGGTCGCACGGATACGTTCCGCGCGCGGCATCTGCGAAAAGGCGCCCCTGGCCCGCGAGGCCGTGGATGCGGATATGATTTTTGCCCACGACGTTCAGCGAGGGGGGCTGGGTGTAGCTGCTGGCCACACGGAAGGTGTGCGTCCACGACTGCACACTGGCACCGCAGGGTCCGAAGGGCGGTTTAGTAGGGCTCACGGTCGAAGGCTTCGAGCTGAGACTCGAGGCAGAACAAGAGGGCAACGTCCACTTTGACCGTGCGGATCATCATGAGTGGGACGAAGCGGTCGACCTCTCTGGCGTGGTGCGAGTTCATCGTCGCTGGAGTAAGCGGCGTGCTGTGGCCGGTGGCGCGCCTGGCATACATCAGGATGCGGGGCTGCATGAGGCGTGTTGTGGCCCGCTGTACTGGCTCACGCGCACGTGATCCTCGCAGGCTTTTAGTGGGCCCCGATCATGTCGGATACCGCCTTCTGGCCCGGCCAGGAGCCGATATCCACCAAATCTGGTCTCAAAACTGAGCCAGCGAAAGCTGGGGCTAGCGGGCACTGTCGGAACGCATGGGAGGACAGCATCCGAAGGAACAAAAATTCGTCCGAAAGGGCAACAGGGTGCAAAACCGAGAGCTGACACGAAAGGGGCTGGTAGGACATAGCGGTGCCCTTGACCTCGAAGAGTCTGCCTACTGGTGCGCGCTGGCTGCACCGCCCCCTCTCTCGCACTGCTGCCTCGCCTTCCATGCCGCCGCCTACCGGCGCGCCCCTACGCTGTTCAAGCTTTTCGGCACAGGCTGCTACAGAGGGGGCGGGCTGGTGGTGAGGCGCGCGCGCTCGCCCGGCGTCGCTCCAAGCTCGCCGCTGCGACCGCCTTTGTGCTCGCAGCATGCTGGCAAGGCTGTGGGCTGCGCACAGACAGCCCCTGGAGGGAGTCCAGGCTGGCCTGTCAACGGACCCCAAGGGCGGTCTGGAGCGATGCTGTGACCGCCCAGAGCTGCCCTGGAGGCCTTTTCGGCGCAAGCTTGGAAAAGACCTTGGGGAGGTCTGCCTGTTGTGCGCAGCCCCAAGCCTTACCACAAGGCGTTCATCTGTGCGCTTTGATTTAAAGGTACGCACTGACCTCCGATGCCGTGAGGCATTTCCATACGCGAACCCCCGAGCCCCAACGACTTTCCACGGACTGGGTTTTCGCCCCATATTGTTTTCTCTAACTTGCGGGTCTGTCTACAAAACAGCCCCCAGAAGCC